ATCACTACATGCAATTACCTAATATGTGACACATTGTCAATCCATTCACGATCTGCGACCATTGTTTTGCACAATCACTACATGCAATCACTAAATGTAATCAATGCATGTAATCACCAAGATCATTCTTGAAATGTGACCATCCATCTATATGATCACCAAATCTATGACCCATTGCAAACAAATTCTTTAATAACTATATATTATAACCTAAAACATCTTGCTCTCATGTATTCTGAATGAAACCATACACGCAAATTTCGTAAACATTATAGGACAAATCCATTGACCAAAAACCATGAAAAAAGATGTGTTATAGTATCCACTTGAGAAAAGTATTTTATCTTCAATTTTGATGGTCTAATGTCAAACATCTATGTTTCACATTCTCCATGACATCCCAGGCCTGTGACCAAACATAACTCAGAGATAGAAAACCTCACATATCGTCCAGTCACATAAAACCATATTTCTTTGTTGTTTGGATGATAAACCTGCCTCAGAAGGAAGAAATGAATCAGTTGTGGTCGTATCACGATCTCGTCGCAATCCAAAAAATGGGCAACACAGGTTTCCATCAATATACGTATTTGTCGTTGGCTTAAGCTTGTTTAAATGGTATTCAGAATACCTTTATAGACTAAATTTGTAATTTTGCCTAGAAACTACCTGTTTTCTAGTATTATAAATTGCCTAGCCTGTATTTAGATTGAAACAATGTTGGACACTTGTAATGAAGTCGTATACAGATGATATGTTACACAAAAGATTAAAATAACATCACATACTCTATCAGATGGATCACATATGCATACACATGTACACTCAAGTCACAGAAATTTGTGTGTTACTGTATAATCAGATTAATAAGGTCATGGGCATAAATCATGTTGTGCTTTCAACAAGGTTACATTCAGATTAATAAGGTCACATACGCCACATTGTCACCAACAAACCAATAACTAGAAGACTTGTTAAAAAACCAACAATTTGATTTGTATCACATCACAGTAGTGTGTTACGATTTCAACACTACATGAATTTCTTCATGTGCACTCAGGTCGAAGATACGTGTATATTAGTCTACAATTAAATTAATAAGGTTACAGATAAGAGCTCTTCATTCTTAGAACATACATAATGTAATGCATTCAAGTCACATATACATTCGGCTCAGGTCATAATGCATCTACCATGGTCAAATTTAGATTCTCTGACATCATACAACATATTAGACATCAAAATACAAACAAAAATGAATTTCCATACCACATAGTCTTCATACCCAAAACCCTAGGCCATACCCAATACCGAATTGAATTGAACCGACTAAAGTTCACAAATGTCCAGTACGTAATCCACACTTCATGCCCAACGATTTTGCATACATAAATCTCGCTAAAGTGATAAAGAAATACCTAAAAAAAGGAAATAACCTTGTTCGATTGCCCTTTCCGCTCAGTTACAGACACTACGCATTTTTTCGGTAGGGGTTTTTTAGGCTCTCCTCAGACTTTCCTCTTGCTACTTCTTTGTGTGGTGTCTTTGACATTATTAACCTCTTTTGCAGCCTTTGATTCCTCCATTTTAATTTGATTGTTATGAACAACATAATGGATGTTGTTGATGACATAGCGATAAGCTAAACAAAGTAAATTCAAAAATGGTAAGAATGGAAAATAACTGAATGGCGATATCTTCTAGAGTCGTGGAGGACGAGTTCGAAAGAGAGAGGGTTTGGAAATGTTGTGTGGAATCGTGGGAAAGAGAGAGAAAGAGAGATGGAGACAGAAGTTAGATTAATAGGGTATGTAAGATAATTGTGATTTGAATTACGATAATTAAGGAAACGCGCCATCAGTTATTAGACATATCGACTAATTATTAAAGGATAACAAAAATATTTAACATTTAGTAATTAAATCAAAACATGAATTGTGCATAAAAAACTTTCTCACCTGATGTTTGCAATGCGATTTTCAAACACTTGGAACCGTGTAATTTTCACCTTAAATTAACCATTTAGAAAAATACACTTTAAACTAACTGAATAATTGAAACTAGTAATTATTACATCCTAAAACTATCAAAATTCCCCAAAATCACTACAGTCTCCAGAAAATTCTCAAAGAAACATTTCTCACCCACAACTTGATTCCTCTCACTATGGTCTCCGTTCAACAATTTCGATAATCTCTCAATAAAATTCTTGTTGCTTCAACACCAAATCCCTAAAAGCCTTGAATCATAACTTCTAAAATCAGAAGCCCCCAAATTGTAGAAACCACCACCTATCGACTCCGACACCCGTTTCAAAACATGGTTGGAGAAAGTGAATCTAAGTTGTTGAAGAGAAAATTAAGTGTTGCTGAAGAAGGAACTTTACAGAAGAAATTAAAAAAATATCTCCACAACTTTATAAACCTAAGTTTAGCCAAGATGTCTCAATGTTTTTAATTTTTTATGATTTTATTCGATTTTATGTTGCAATCTTTGCTAATTATGATAAGAAATTCATTGTTTATTCCACTTTTGATTTGCCCTTATTGTGTTATATTATGGTTTGAAACTTGGATAAGAATCTGACAGTAAAAGGAGGTGTTTTTCTTTTGCATGCGAATGGTAGATACCATTTTCAGCTTTACGTTTGCATTTTTCAGTACAAACCCTTGTGTGCACAAATAGCTTTGTGTTGGTTTATGCAATTTAATCTTTATTATGAGAGCATGGTGGGTTGTTAATTTGATGATAAATTGTATGGTATGAAAGTTTAATCTTTACCTAGTCTTTGCTCAAAACGAATTATAAAGAGTCTTTTTTTTTTGTTTTTTTTTTAGGGAAATTGGGTTGTTGCTCATTTCATGCCTTCCAATGTAGTTTTGTGATGGAAAAAACCGGTGTTCCAGGAGAAAACATTATATGGCTTTGAGACTTTTTGGGTTAATGTTTTGTTTTTGGAATTTGTTTGTTTTTTAAAATTTCCTATCACATGCTTTTTGTCAATTTCTCGTTAGTCGACAACATGAACAAAAGGTGACATATTGTTTTACTTTTTAACTTAAAGTTGTTATTTTTTTTGAATTTTTATTACTTCAAACTTATAGGTTATTGTATTCGTAAAATGAAGTTATGTTATATGTTTAGTTAATACAGGCTAAGATAATCACAAAGAAATAACATATAGAAGAAATTAACCGTCTTTTGGATCTATTCTAAAATTTTGATTGATATTTGTTACATTTCTGAGTGTTAGTCACTTTTTTTTTGTCACTTTATTGAATAGCTTCCAAATCCAAGTTAATATGTAGGTTAATAGAAGTGAATCATAATTACAATGAAATAATTGCAAAAGAAAATCAACAATCTATTGACTTTATTCTAAAATTTTGATTGATATTGAACATTGTTTGTCGTTTTTTTTTAGCATTTGTCACTTTTCTAAGTTTTTGTTATTTTTTAAAATTTCTGTCACTTTATTGAATTGCTACGTATTTAATGTCACTTTTTAGTGTTTGTTATTTTTTTCTTTTACTTTCTTGAAATTTCAGTGACTTTTTTGAATAACAAATATCACATATTAAAAAGTGACACTTGAATTAGAAAAGTGACATGATGTCACTTAATTTTACATAATAATTTTACTTCTTTTTATCTTGAAATTTGTCATTTTTTTTGTGACAAACATTACTTTTTAATAAAAGCGATATACGTCACTACAATTAATTTTACCATTAAAATGTGACAATGAATTTTACACTATTACTTCTAAAATACTTTTCATATGATTTTTCAAAAGGCACCTAATTTTAAGGGCATTTTTGTTAGTGCAAATTAGGCTCACTGCTCGAAAAAAATAACAAATTAGATTTATGCAGCTAAACAATTTAAACCCACTAATAACATTAATAATTACACTCAAAAATCTCCCAAAAGCCCCAAAACCAACTGAGATCGAGAGAAATCCTAAACCCGTCAAAATCCATGATTCACCAATGCGAAGAAGCAGCAGTTTCACCAACAAGAAGAAGAAAGCGATTCATCAACCCATTAAAGACTCCACCCACACGACAACATTGACTATGGACTTGAACTGTTGCTAAAGAAAGTGAATGGACGAAGATGACGGGAAAGTGTGAAAAGGTGCATCAATGGTACTCGAGAATCCCAAACAAGGAATAGAAAATATCACTCAGATTAAACAAATATATCAAAAATTATCAAAAATGACAGAAGTTATACAACAAATTTATACACTCATTTATTTTATACTTAGCCATGTTTGAGTCTCATTCTTTGAAAAAAAAATACATTCTTAGATAGTATTTTGATATAATTTTAATCACACATTCTTCAATAAAATAATATTACACGCAAATCCAAAAAATTTCCTTATTTTTTAACCACACATTTCCATCAATACACTATTCAAAAATTCATTCTTAAGAAAATAATGGGGCTCAAACAAGGGCTTAATAAACACTGTGAATTTAGATCATGCAAATTTCAATTAATATGCACATAAGAATTCGTACTGTACAATTATGAAGTAGATATAAGTATCAACACACAATTTCAAGAATCACCAGTATTTATAATTTATGTAGATACAGATTTAAAGCTCCTATAACAAAAAACTTAGTAATAGAGATCACACAGTAAAGAGTTATCATATGGGAGGAGCAGTAGATAACATAACACTTATGGATCTCCTTAGACCAAACCCTACTTCCCTCAAATTCTAAGGTTTTTTCAGAGAACCCTAAACAAAGGTAAATTTAGAGGTTTTCAGGAATTCGTTAGGAGCAGACTAACTATTTTGAATAGCAAAGGGAATAGCTTAGAGGCTGTTCTCTTCGTCTTTTTCTATTTTTGATTTTCCAAAACGGTGAAAACGCATTCTCTTTTCCATTTTTTAAAACGAATTTTGAAAAACAAAAAAAAAATTTGTACTAAAAATGGAAAATGATGAAAAGGACGTTTTCAGCGTTTTGGAGCCAAATCAAGCAAATGAACCAAAAAGCGGAAAACACCCCTAAATTCCTCTTCCTCCAAAACCTTGTGTGAGAGAAGCATGAGAGAACGACCACCTTTTTCCTCAACAATCGACCACCACCCGCCACCTAGACCACCAGACTCCATTACCATTCGAATCCCCTCGCTTTCCTCTTTAACCTCTTGTCATCACCTGGCCATAGAGTTGTCGAAAACAGTCCCAATCACTTGCCAAAATCGCACTAACAGTCACCACTTTCGCCATATTTCCACTGCTGTCGACCACCGTTTCGATCGCGGACCATCACCACTCCACTCCTCTAAACTAGGCGCATCCAGTACCACCATGGGTCACCTGCAATTTTGTCCAGAATTGAGCGTGCTTTCATAAGCACACTCGATTCTGGACAAAATTGCAGTTCTGTGAGTTGCCTGTCCTCTAAATTAATTTTGGTTTATTGTTTCACAGATCACAAATTTCGAAAACAAACCCAGGTAGGTATGTAATTTCTGTCCAAACACAGGTTGATGTGAGAAAGGTAACTTGTACCAGAATTATTTACTCATGAATTAAATTCAATCAATCACATTATTTTTAGCTTTAGGGTGTGGAAAGAAAGGAAGAGAATTATTGGCCATTTGCATTCAATTTGGGATCGTAGGGGAGGAGCAAACGAATCGATAGGTATATAGAGAAATGGGTTGCTCGTTCTTGGGACTGAATGCCCTTTACGACGCCGTTAATGGTGGAGGGGATGTTTGGATCAATGAGAATCGGTTCAGGATCTTGAGGCAGCTGGGAGAGGGTGGATTTGCATATGTTTTCCTTGTCAAGGAGGTTATATTTGATTCATCCAACTCTGGAATTTCTATGAGAATCAAGGACTCTTTTCATCACTCTGGTATTCTTTTTCTTCCATTTCTGTTGGAATTTCGAGTGTTTAATTGAATGTTTACAAAAGAATTTTTTTATTGGTGATTTTAGTAATTGCTTATTTTTATGGGATCTTTTGGTTTTGATGTGGGATCCATTTATGATTATGTGTGGTTGTTTTAGCTTTGATTGAATCTCGTTTCACAAGAGGAAAGGAAGAAGGGATCTTGCATGAACGTTAATGTAAATTGGAAATATCCCCAAATTTGCCAGTTTTCGCTACTGATCTGGAAATTGAAGTGGCTTTCGCTAGTGATTTTCTTACTTTGAAAAAGTTAATATGATCAGAGCTAGCATGGTTACAAACCTGAATTCAAATCCTTTATAGAAACTGGAAGTAAGTTGTGAAACAGTTTTGATCCGTAACATGTTATAGGGGCAAGATTTGGAATAGTATATTTCACAAATCACACCACAATTTCTTTTTAATCTTCTAGGTTTTTCAGCAAATTATCTTATCTCATATTGTTTTATCACAAATTCCTCATTTTCTATCTTTTAATGCCAACCCAATCTATGGCCTTTTATTTTTGTTGTGCACCTAAAATTTTAGCAATGGCCTTTTATTTGGTTTTATTTTGCAAGAATGGGTGCTCCTAAGCAGAAGTGGACATCGGAAAAGAAGCGGCTCTTAAAGTTGGCATTGCCAAGTATGGGGTAGCAAAAGGAGTACTATACTAAAAGATCCTGAATTTAGCACAGTTTTGCGATCACGTTCAAATGTGGATCTTTAGGTATTGTATATAAGGCTTTATCATTTTGGTACATTGATTTGAGGAAAATCAGTCATAGTTGGAATATTCATATTTTGATTAAGCAAAAACTTGTGTATTGTGAAATGACACAGATGGTGTTATTTAGGTATGCACTTTTTTGCTCCTTAACTTGATTAACTTGATTTTTTTAATGTTATCGGACAGGATATATTGAGAAATTTGAATTGCATGGCAAATGTTTTGGGGTCTCGACATAGGGCAAAGGTTTCATATAAAAGCAATCAAGTGAAATTGGGAGTTTATTACAGAATTGGAACCAAAAGTTGGTGTCATTGAGTTTGCCTCATGGAAGATTTTCTGGTGATTTGATTAGTACAATCCGCAATTACACTCTATTGACATAGCTCTATTGGAACTTTATGATTCGAAGCTTTAGACGAAACGGATGTTATTAGTACAATCCGCAATTACACTCTATTGACATAGCTCTATTGGCGGCTTCTTGCATGCAAACAACTTTGGCGCACATGGAGGTGGTCGTATCTTGATCTTGTGGAATCCATCCAAAGTGTCTTTGGATGTGACGGAGGTTCATCCACAAGTCATACATTGTAAAGCTACTTGCAAGGTAACTTCCTTCACCTTCCTTGATAGTTTTGTTTATGGCTTCCACACTTTGGTTTCTAGAAGGCCTCTTTGGGAAAACATCATGGATCACAACACAAATGTTGCATTGCCTTGGATGATTTTGGGGGATTTCAACAACGTTCTAAAATTTGATGAGAAAAGTAATGGGGCGGATGTCACCCCTTATGAAATCAAAGATCTTGCAAGTTGTTGCCTTCAAGTGGGACTAACGGATGTACGGTCTATTGGTTGCTTCCTCACATGGACCAATGGCTCGGTTTGGAGCAAAATTGATAGGGCTATGATCAATGATATTTGGGTGCAAAATGGGCCACATATTGGTGCAAATTTTCTTCCATCCGGTTGTCTTTCCGATCATTCACCTTGTATTGTTTCCATTGATGATTGTGTTAGTAGCGGTAAGAAGCCATTCAAGTTTTTTAACGTGTGGACTATGCATGAAGATTTTCTTGATATTGTGCAATCTTCTTGGCAAGTTAATGTTCGGGGGACTAAACAATTTGTTCTTTGCAAGAAGTTGAGGAAACTTAAGGTTGCTCTTAAGGAGCTAAATTCTAAACAATTTGGTCACATTTCGAGGAGGGCCAATGAGGCGAAATCTGATTTGGAGGCTGCCCAAATTCAGCTTGAAAATCAGCCCGCTAATCTGGAATTTCAGCTTTCGGTTCAAAATTTGAGGAAAAAAACTGTTGGCTTGTGTGAAGCGGAGAGGAGCTTTTATTATCAAAAGGCTAAATGCATCTTCCTTAAGCAAAGTGACAAATGTACAAAGTTCTTTCATTCCATTGTCAAAAGGAACTCTAGAAGGAATTTTATTGCTACAATTATTAAAGAGGATGGGGAGTCTTCTACTTCTCAACACCAAGTTGCTTCGGAATTTGTAAAATTCTATACTTCATTGCTTGGTACTTATTGCCCTTCTCGGCCGATTCAAAGGGAGATCATCACTAATGGTCCGTTAGTCTCATTGGAACAAGGTAACTCTTTGATCCGGGAGATTACCTATGATGAAGTTAAAGATGCAGTTTTTGATATTGGAGATGATAAATCTCCCGGACCGGATGGTTACACTTCTTGTTTTTTCAAGAATGCATGGGGAATTATTGGTGATGAGTTTGTGGGTGCAATCATGGAGTTCTTCTCTTCGGGTTCTATGCTTAAACAACTCAACCATTCCGTTATTGCTTTGGTGCCTAAGTCGGATCATGCTTCGCATGTTGGGGATTTTAGACCTATTTCTTGTTGTAACGTGATCTATAAAGTGATCACCAAAATTCTTGCATCTAGATTGAAGCCTATATTGGGGGATATTGTTGACCAAGCACAAGCCGCCTTCATTGAAGGTAGAAGCATGACGGAAAATATTCATCTTGCTCAAGAACTTATGAGGCAATACAATAGGAAGAGAGTTGCTCCGAGGTGCCTCCTTAAGATTGATATTAGCAAAGCCTTTGATTCGGTTAGTTGGGACTTTCTCAAGAGTGTTCTTGAAGGGTTGAATTTTCCATCGACATTTGTTCAATGGATTATGGAGTGTGTTACCACTCCGACACATTCGGTTGCTTTGAATGGAAGTATGCATGGTTTCTTCAAAGGCGGGAAAGGCCTTCGCCAAGGTGATCCACTCTCCCCTTTCTTGTTTGTGATTTGTCTTGAATATTTTTCTAGATTGATCAAGGATGCTACAAGTGATAGTCACTTCAATTATCACCCAAAATGTGGTCCCCTAAAGATAACCCACTTGGCTTTTGCGGATGACTTGATGCTTTTTGCAAGGGGTGATGCTATGTCCGTTGAAATTCTTATCGATTGCCTTGACAAATTTGGTTTAGCATCGGGTTTAAAGATCAACACTACGAAATCCAGCATCTACACAGCTGGAATTTTCGGAAAATAGCAGGTTATATTGGAGCTTGGAGTTGTGCATCTCTATCCTATGCCGGCAAGTTGGAACTCATTAGGGCCGTGCTTCAAGGTGTTGAATGTTTTTGGCTTTCTATCTTCCCCATTCCGGCTACAATTATTTCGAGAATTGTTAGCCTTTGTCGGAACTTCCTTTGGGGATCAAAGAAGCCATTGGTTGCATGGAAGAATCTATGCCTTCCTAAAGCGGAAGGGGGCCTTGGATTGAAAGACTTGAAGACTTGGAATTTAGCGTTACTAGCTAAATCCCTTTGGAACATCCACAAGAAGAAGGACACCTTATGGATTAGATGGGTTCATCATGCTTATCTTAACGGCACTTGTATTTGGGAAGCTCGTCCTAAAAAGGATCACTCCCCACTTTTCAAGAAATTACTTGAAATCAGGGATTTTATTTCTACCAAAGAAGCTGCCCAGCACACTGTAATTCCGAGACAGCAACAGGAAACGGGGGCCCATCATTTTCAGATTGATCAGGGGGTTAACGGGGACACGTCCAGTGATGGAAGGGCATTAAATGGACGTTTTTTGGAGCTGGGAGTGCTCTGCACGACCAGAATTTGGGCCCTTCATTCAGCAGCATTTTTGGCCGGCAGACAGCTTTCTTCGGTAGGCAGTTTTTTGAATTTTCGACTCAAAATCTGGGCTGTTTGGTGCATGATAAATTCTCAACAAAAATTGCCTATGAATACTTTAGGCATAAAGGTACTTTGAAGCCGTGGGGAGGAGAAGTTTGGAAGCCGTGCATCACTCCGAAGCATTCTTTCTTAATCAGGGATTTTATTTCTGCCAAAGAAGCTGGACAGCACACTGTGATTCCGGCACAGCAACATGAAACGATGCCTCATCATTTGCAGATTGTGCAAGGGGTAAACGGGGACACGTCCACTGATGTTAGGACAGTTAATGGACGATTTTTGGGTGCTGGAACTGCCCTGCACGACCAGATTTCTGGGCCTGCATTCTGGAGCAATTCTGGCCGCCAAACTGCATTCTTCGGTAGGCAGTTTTTTGAAACTTCGACTCAAAATCTGGGCTGTTTGGTGCATGATAAATTCTCAACAAAAATTGCCTATGAATACTTTAGGCATAAAGGTACTTTGAAGCCGTGGGGAGGAGAAGTTTGGAAGCCGTGCATCACTCCGAAGCATTCTTTCTTGCTATGGTTAGCGGCCCAATCAAAGCTGCTAACTAAAGACAAACTACTCTTCTTGGATATTGATCGGAGGTGTGTTTTTTGTGGACTTTTTGAGGAAACTTGTGACCATCTATTCTTTAAGTGTTCCTTCACTTCCTCATTATGGGGGAGCATTAGGAGATGGCTTGGCATCACAAGATCTATGTCTACACTTGCCATGGCGCTTAAGTGGATGAAAAAGGAGAATCGTGGAACTTCGTGGCTGACCAAGACGAAGCGAGTGGCTCTTGCTAGCACAGTTTACTACATATGGCTTACGAGGAATAGGAAGATTTTTGAAGACCTCCCGGCCGACTTGGATTCTATTACTAGAAGGATCAAGACACACGTATACAAAGTCATGTTTACTTTATATCCGGATGTCTTGATTCTTTTTGAATCCTTGGCCGTGGATCATTGATCTCTTTATGTATCTTGCCTTCTTTGTGTCTCCCGGGTATGCCCGGAGTAGTTGTTTTCGTTTTAGACTTTGATTTGCCCGGGAATGCCCGGTGTACTTGTACTTATCATTGACTTTGATTCGCCCGGGTATGCCCGGTGTACTTGTATTTGATTATGGACATTGTCTCGCCCGGGTATGCCCGGTGTATTTGTACATGGTACAATTTTGATCTATATATTTACATTTACCGATCAAAAAAAAAAGAAATTGGAACTTTATGATTCGAAGCTTTAGACGAAACGGATGTTATTTTTTTTTTATATGATACTTGTGAGTATAAGACTACATACATTGGTGATGTGAAATTCAATATTGAAGGGATTGTTTCACATTTGTACGTAGAGACATATTATTTGCCTCAAAAGAATTATAGACTTTTGAAATAATTTGTAAGTCTGAAGTTTCAATCAAGACAGGTTTTACACTTCACGAAAATATTTCATGTTATTGAATTTCGACTAATGTTAGTGGTGGAAATGAAAAATAATTACAAATGAAATTGGTTTTAAGAATTTCAAATGCTATATTTGGCTCATATTCATAAACACTCAAATTGTTTTTCATCAACACTTTATTAAAAAATGTATGGTTAAAAATGAGTTATTTAATACATTTCATCAACGCTCAAATCATATTTCACCAATTTCAAAATTTATATGTTACTTAATAATATATTAACATTAAAATATTAAAATTTATTGAATAACCAGATTTCTTGAATAAAATATTATAAAAAGAATATTATTAAAATTTCAAAGTAAACATGTTTTCCAATTTTATATTTCCAGAAACATTTTTTTCAAAATGACAAAAAGAACGAATTTTCAACAATTTCAAAACAGTCACTTAAAATACAAAACTCAAAATGAATTCAAAATTCAAAACTACAAAATTGAAACACGAAGAAAACAGCTCCTTAGGTATCTATTTCAAAAAATTGCAACATTGTAAATGTATAGAGATTATCATGAAAGGGTGGTTCCATAAAATGGATCGAGTGATTTCTTGACCACAAAATTTACAGATCTAATGTTTTTAATTTTTTTTTTTTTTTTTTTTTTTTTTTTTTAAAAGGAGCTTTGATACCACTATTAGTCCCAAATAATTAGATCCTTGTTTTAAAAGAAAGTTTGTTTGAATAGTGTATTGAAGTGAAATATGTTATTAAAAAATAAGGAAAATTTTTCAATTTACGTATAATATTATTTTATTGAAAAATGTGTGGTTAGAATG